TAAGAGTACACTTGCCTATGTCAAAAACTTAAAGGGATAGGTCTATTTAAAGTCTGTAACAGCTCCTGCAGTGCTCTAATTTTGGGAGTTTACAGACACAATAGAGTGGAGGTTGGTACAGGATCTTAAATGAGGCAGTAGTGCCAATTTACCCACTGGCACCTATCTCATGCACTCCCCTATCACAGGTCTAGGAAGAGTCTTAATGGTTTTCATTGTTAGATTTAAAAGATACCTTCTTTTACATTCCTTTATATACAGATTCCCAGTTACTTTTCGCCCTTAAAAAATCCCAGCTACCAGGCCTCTCAGCTGGCTAGACAGTGCTTTCTCAAATGTTCAGAGGCAGTCTCCATCTTTTTGGACAAGTGTTTTCCCTTAAGCATGTTTTAAGTTTTCTAAAGTCACAGTCTTATAATATATAGATGATATACTTTTATGTGCTCCCTTAGAAGAGCTTGTTAGCCAAAGCACTTGTGCTCTGCTGAATTTTCTATGAGACAGAGATTATAAGGTCTCTGGATCTAAGGCACAACTTTGCAGCTTGAAGTAAAATGCTAAGGAACCTGAAGCCTGGGAAAAGAGAATATTAAACCAATAGTTTCCTTCCCAAAGCCCAAAACTCTAAAATAGCTAAAGAGATTCTTAGGAATTAGAGGCTTTTGTTGCCTTTGGGTAGCAGGGTAAGATAAAATTGTACAACCCCTCTATCAGCTCACCAAGAAGTCCAAAAGGCAGATAGCCATACTTTAACCTGGGAACCTGATTCCCAAACTGCATTCCAGAAGCTTAAACAAGCGTTTCTGAGTGCCTTGGCACTGAACCTCTGACAGGAGACTGTTTCAGTGTATATGTTGAGGAAAGGTGGGGCATGGCTTTGGAAATGCTTAAGTAGGTTCAAAGAACCTGCTCAGTAGCCTACTGGGATCTGAGTCATGAATTAGACACTGCAGCAAAGGGATGGCCTTTTGCCTTAGGGCTGTGGCTTTCATAGTTCTCCTGGTACTTTTGGCATCCAAACTGCCTAGGCAAAGATCTCACTGTGTATATACCTCACTACGTAGAGGGCTTCTTTCTTATGGAGGGAGCCTATGGCTATCAGACAACCACCCTCTTAATTCCAGGCTCCACTTTTAGAAGGACCATTCATTCAAATAGAGACATATTCTTTCTCAAGCCCTGCAATCTTTCTACCAAAAAAGGTGGAAATTGCGCCTAAAAGATTTGTGTCTGAACAGATAATTTTCCATACACGCACAGCCAGAGAAGACTTGTAAGATACATCCCTTACTGATCTTGATTCGACCCTCTTCCATGATGGCAATTCCTTCATGAAAAATAGGACAAGAGGGGAAGGGTATGCAGTAGTGATTGTACACCAGACACCTAAAAATTCCTCACTTTCCTATGGGAGTTGTTCCAAGCTAACAACACTCATAGCTCCTACCAGAGCTTTTACAGCTCAGTGAAGGACAAAATGTCAATACTGATACTGATTCAAAGTATGCTTTCTTAGTATTGCATGCCCACACAGTCATATAAAAAATGAAATTATCTGACAGTGTATCTTCCATGAAGTATCATAAGGAGATGGATGAACTTCTGTCATCTGTGTAGCTGCCCCAGACTCCCTACATTCTCCCCTGATCTTTGAAGGGTCACTTGATCATATTTGACCCAAATATGATCTCAGAATTCTAGTGGGCTCTCTTCCATGTGTGTCAGAGTCTTCCATCAGGATGGTTATGATTTACCAGATGATGGTAAAGCGTTGCTTCCTGGTGTGAGTCAGTAGAAAATTATTAACTCCTAACATCAAATCTTTCACTTGGGAGCAACAAGACCCACAAGATGGCCTCAAAGTTACTGATGGGAAAGGAACTTTCTCAGACATTGCAACAGGTAGTTAAGATGTGTGAACTCTACCCCACAAAATCCTCTTAATTGGACCATAGGTTTCTAGATATGCAGACACATGATAAATATCCTGGAGAAGATCGGCAGCTTGAATTTACTCACATGCAGAGAGTTAGGAGCTATAATCACTGGTCTGCATAGATACTTTCACAAACTGGTTGAAGCCTTTTCTTGAAGAACAGGAAAATCACAAGAGTTGATAAAGGTTTTGGCCTCAGAAACCATCTCTAGATTTGAAGTTCCTAAGTGCTTACAGAGTGATAGTGGGTCTTCTTTTAAGTGACAATCACATAAGTTATATCCTAGGCACCAGGCATTGTCATCACCTTCGTTGTGCATAGAGGGAGGCCACAGACATTGGGAAAAGTACAGAGATTGAATGAGACCATAAGGAGACACCTTAGCAAAATGGCTCAAGACCCACTCAGAGTAGCCTTACTTACTAACTTCAGCTTTTATCAAAATAAGAAATGCACCTCAAATTCTAGGCCTTAGTCCATTTAAAATGCTTTATGGATGTCCTTTTGTCACTAATGATTTTCTCTTTGTTAGACAAACTAGCGAATGATAAGCTTTCTAACAAATGTCACCTCATGGTCTGAATTCTATCAGATTCTTCAATGGCTCACAAAAGCCTAAAAAAGGGAAGTTCCATATTCCACCCCAGGGATTTAGTGCTGGCAAAGTGTCTTCCCTCATCCTTTTCAGGAGGACTCACTTGGGAAGGACTGTACACTGTGATCCTGTTTCCTCCATGGTTGTCAAAGTAACAGACCTAGACTTCTGGGTATACCACATCCAAGGCAAGCCCTGGAAACTGACTGTTGCTAAGTGTGACCAACCACCCATATACTCCTGTGAACCCATAGAAGATTTAAATTCAATCAAAAAGAAAGCAAAGTCTTCAGATAAAAAATCTCTAAGAAGTTACTATTTACCACTTTAAAAAGTGTTGACTTGTTTTCTGCTATGAGCTCTAGAATATGCAGAGTTGTTACAACAAACATCTTCCTGGATATGTCATCTGCAGCTTTCGTTGAGTACAACAGGACTTCTTTAAAGGATAGCTCCACTTCAAGAAATGATTAAAATAAGCTATAAGACCATGTTGATGAAACATAAGAGTTCACTAACATAAGTTAACTAAGTGGCCTATAAACTACACCCTCAAAGATCCTGGGCATACTCGAATTTTTTCTAAACTTGCCACTGAAGCATCTCAACGGATCAGTAGAACACCTACTAAAGAAAAGTAATGGTCCTCTCATGAGAACCAACAAGTACAGATATAAATATGGTTACTTTCAGATATGAGGTAGTTATAGGAAAAAAGACAGACAGCTATTTTTAGGTGAGTGTATAGGTACTGGCCAAGTTGAATTATAGTAATACAGTGGTACCTTGGTTCATGAACTTAATTCTCTCCATATTGGTTGCAGTATGAACTGGATGAGAACCAAATGAAATTAAATGGTAAGGTTTGATGCTGCCTTTATGTATCACTTAAGTTTGATCACATCCAGTGCCAGTGGTGGTGACTGGAGGGTCTCTAGGAAGTGTCCAGCAGTGTCTGTGGCCCCTTTTAATTGACCCTGTGACTCTTGACACACACTTATCTAAAGGCCTTTTTTTTGCCCTGAACAAATGCAAGGCACAAGTGTAAATCCTTCATCTGTTCTCCTGTTGTTAAAGATAAAGAGTTTTGCAAGCTGTCTTAGCCAGAACTGAGGAGAACCTGTTTCTGGGCAGTAAATTCATCAAGACATATCTGGAGGGTGTGTCTTATGCTAGCAGAGAGAGAAAAGTTAAAACCTGTACTGCAGCTCTTAGAAGAAGTTTAAGGGCAGGCTCTCTCAGTATCTTAGGTCCCTCTGGGACAGCGGATCCCAGGGGATCACTTGAGTTTTCTCTCTTGCTTTGTAGAGGTGTGTAGATGGGGATGACAGAAGTGGAGATTGCTTTTTACCCAGTTGGACTGTCAGCACCCAGCTTCCACTCAGGAGGCTTAAACCCCAGCATGACCCCTCAGGCATCCTGTCAGCTTTTGCTGGTTCCACACCATCAGACATTTGTGTCCACAAAGGACTGTAGCTTCCTGTGTGGCCGAGATCCCCACTGGCTTCAGTGTGGGATTAACCAGGAGGTGCTGGGGAGCCTGTCTTCTGCCTTAAGAGTGGCAGCTGCTCTAAAAGCATTTAACCAGCTGGCAGAGTAAGTGCTCTTTCTTAGAGTTCTACGAGGGACAGACAGAGGCTGTGTACGTATGTTTGGCCATTCTGCCGGAATTGCCTCTAGAGAAGCTGAGTGCCCTGCCCCACATTGGGTGCCAAAGATGTCACAGTTCCCTGTAGATCTCTGGTTCTTGTTTCTGGGCAGTGAAGATTGAAGTCAACAGAACAGCATGTAGCAAGCAGTGGGGAATCACCAGGTGTATGTTTAATAGAAAGAGTGAAAGGAAAAGCCGCTTCTCAAGGAGGTGGACATCATCAGTGTTTAAATCCATTGACTTCCTATACAGTTTTTGGTAGGGATGACTATGACAGAGTGCAGGGACACTCCTGGCTGTAAGTGCCTTTGATGGGAAAGCAGGATGCTTCATTTGCATTTCAGCCTTACTTCCTCCAGGGCTTCTCCCATTTGTCTAGGGACCTGTATTTTGTCCCTTACTGCATTAGCCTCCTTGTGGCTTATCTACTTGTGCTAGTTATTTGGACCCTCTGGCATATTAACTCAAATTTCAAATTTTAGTTTATTTCCTGTTAACAATTTAGGACTCTTGGCCTCTGCCTAACTTCCTCTATCCTCTGGCTTTAGCTTTTGATGCTTTTTCCTTGTAGTATCTTTGAACTGCTTTATAGTGACCCACTTTTTCTAGTCTTCTCTTGTGTAGTTTCCTCTGTGTTTCATTTCCCTCATGGTTTCTCTCCCCTCATTTTTTTTTTTACTGGTCCCGATACATAGACAAGAATCAGCTGCACCCCTCCAGTAGCAGGATGACGTGCAGCTAAGAAGCCACCCAGAGAGACGAGCCCTTCTCTAGGCACAGAGCTGCTGTGAGGAGCAGAGCTCTTTCATGGACTTACTCTGTTTGCTGGGCACCTCCGTGGAGTCTTCTCCTCAGCTGCAAGCTCTTTCCCAGATGCACATACTTCCTGGATTGTAGAAGTCCTTTTTATTTCCTTCCTTCAAACCATCTTCTCCCCTTTCTTTATACAATTCCAAAGTCCTTTTATTGGTTGCTCGTGTTCACCCGAGTAAATAGACAGCCCCATCTGCGAATCTGGAGATATGCTGTCCTTCTGTACTTCCTTCTTGTACCTGAAGTTGATTCCTACACCAGCACACACCTTCCTTTTTTGTTTTTCCAGCTCCTTACTGCTTTCTGAGGCTCATAAATGCAATTTCAGATTGCACGTTTATGCCTCTTAAAGATAGTAAAGAGAATCAGAAAATACAGATAATTGTTTAAAAATTAAAGAAGGCTATCCTAAAACCACTATATAATTAATAGTATTTCACTTAGATGTGTAAACTTTTATATATAAGTGTATTTGATAGACATGTGATTTTGTAAAGTCACATATTTAGTATCTTAATGTGTATATATCTCTTAGTCCGCTTTTTAAACTTAATATCTTATCAACACCTTTCACATCTGTCTTTATTATAATTGTTACTAATGGCATGCTGTGATGTATTTTGGAAGTGCCTTGCTGCAATCCATTTATTGACACTCAGCCCTCACTCTCGCGGGTATGTTAAATCGCCTCCTTCTGTTCTCACCTCTGTCTTACCTCTGAGTTCAGAGGGTCTCATAAATGTTGAATGAGGGCAGATTTATTTTCCACATTTTATTCTTGTGGTTTATGGAAGGTTTTTATTCTCTTGTGGTTAATTTCTTTATGCATTTTTTAAAATGGAAAAATAGTGTTATAAGCTTAAGAAACTGGTGATTCTGTGCAGTGACATTGCTCACAGGTCGAACATAATTAAACCTAGAAAAGACAGCATTGCTTGAGAAAGATAAAGGGTCAGTTTTGTGTAAAGCAGCAGGGGGAGAGGGCTGAAAACAAACAGTGCTCTTTAATGAGTGGTGATCTCCTGTCTTTTCCTGGTGGCCCTGACAGTAAACCCTCCTTCTGTCTTTTCCCTTTCCAGGTCTCCTTAGTGTGGGCTAGTGTATCCTTGCAGTACTGGGTGTTGCAGTGACTGTTTTCCAGCTCTTCAGTGTCCTTAGTGTGGGCCTAGGTTTGTAAATCTGAGTTAGATATTGCTAGGTGATGGGTATCTCTAAACATAGATTTTGAAATAAGATGTATAGTTCCTTTTTATAAAAAAGAGAATACCTCTCTCATGTTATATGTGGCTCCTTATTCAGACTCTGAAGCACAGGCCATGAGGTTTCTAGAGAACATTTTCCACTGCTTTAATAACCTCATCCCCTTGGCTGTTTCTCGTGGAGCTGCTGATGTAGGTCTGAAAAGGTCTCAGAGACCCAATGGAGATGACACAAGCAGTCACTGAGCCCCCAACTAAACAAGGGTGTGTAATAAATGCTGCTGTTGTTACTGTTAGGATTATTTTAGCAGAGACTTGTTAGGAATGTGTGATTTGACAGGCCCAGTTCTGAGACTCAGGTAGGTTAACCTTGTAAAAGTGAGTCATGCAGAGTTTTGGGAATTTTCCAAGCCTTGTGCAGTTATTCTGTGCCAGAGTGCAGCCCCACAAATGCCTCTCTTGCATAGGTTGCAGCACCTGACTTTCATGTTTATTGAGAAACTGGGCTGTTGTCTGAGTGGCAATTTCTGTAGCAAAGTGAGTGTTAACCTTTCCAGGATGCCAGTGTGCAAGCGGGGTGGAACTCTCTCTCGAGATTCCAGTTGCTTTCTTCATCACGCCCTTTTGTTTCCTAGGTGGGGAGTAAGATGCTGGTGTGTGGATGGCTAGCAGTAGCTGGTGTCCCAGTGATTAGACATCTGTGTGACTATTAATTTTTTGCATAAGACAAAGTTTGGACTCCTTTTTAAAAAATTTTATTTAAAGAAAGACTAAACAAAACAGAAAACAGGTAGAAATAATACATAATTTCAAAGAAAAAATAAACAGTAAGAAATCACTAGTTGATGATTGCAGATTTTCCTCTTACAAGTAGTTATGCAAGATACTAAAGTGGAGCCTATAAAGTGGGGATTCAAACAGTGAGACTGCAACCAGTTCTGTTCAACTATCCAACAAAAACTTAGAAATATGGTTATCAGTTCTATACACTTAAACATACATGCAGTTATCCATCTCTTCAATTATTTTCAGATTGAATAAACCCAAGCAGGCTAATATCACTCTGAACAAAAAATAATACTATTGCTGGGTTTCACATTATGACGCTCCAGGACCAGCACTGGGTACTTTAGTGTCTCTTTTTCTTCAAAGTATCTGTTCATCATGTATCATAAACTCAGTTTTCATAAACTGTTTATAGATTCTACACATGCGTGCGTCTTAACATGTATTTCTATCCTTTGTATGTTAGAGGGAGAAACAAAACAAAGCAAGACAAAACATATTCCTATAAACACATGAAATGAAAATATATAAGACCTTTATACAAAGAATTCTACCATAGTTCCTGTGTTGTCTCTTGTTATCTTCAATAGAATTGGCTATATCATCAGACATAGTATAATTGAATATATCAGTACATAACAGTATTAATAAAAACACAACTTTGTATATAGTATAAAACTTCAAAAACAGGCAGTTATCAAACCAGAATGTATATTGTAGAGTCTTGTCATCTTCAGTGTAGTTGCCTATATTCTCAGACTTGATACTACCAATCATATCAGTTTTGAATAAAATCTGTCAATACCAAACAGCAATCAAACAAACCAGATTTAACTAAGATCAGTCATGATAAAACAGTATAAGTCATACAGGGCTCCAGATTAAAATAATAGAAAATTAAAGATGATTACTGCGCTATATTGTAATGTTTTAGGGATAGCTGTCTGTGCCCTCAAATCTAATGCATGATGACAAACGGGGACAAAATAAAATCTATCACAAAAAGAGAATAAAATCTATTAAGCAGAGTGGTGTGAGTAATGTGGGTTTTAAATCCTGATACACTATTAACAATACCTTCTGCCATCTTTCTTAAGACTCTCCCTCTCTTTTTACCTCCCCAGGGTACACTGTGCATTTTGGGGTCTCACCAAGACCCTTGGTTTTAAATTACGGGGGGCAACCTCCTATTTACCTAAGTGGTTCCAAACCTTCTCTCTCCTGAACCTGATCTCTAGTTGTATTCATTTTCCTATTAAAGCCTGTCTCTCTAACCTATCCACAAATACTGGTCTAGTTGCCCCTATTTTTCTCTGGTTCTTTGTCACATAGAGCATTGTTTTCTCATATTTGATTTTCAGTCCATGTACTCTTTTTTTGTTAATTATATTTTCCTATAAATAACATCTTGGTGGACCCTGCCTCCTGATCTACTCCATGTGTGGTTCTTTTTTTTTTAAATGTAGTGTATCAAGGCCATCTATATTAGAGATTATAACCAACCTTCTCTGCCTCATTTCTGTTATGCTGTTTTTTTGCCATCAGTTGTCTGCTTATCTTCTTCATTCTGTTTTCTGCTCCATTCATTGAGGCCTCTCTGCCACTGTTCCTGGAATCCTAGTACTTTTCTCTTTCTAGAATGCCCTGCATATTCTCTATAGTGGTTGCAAATTTCCCAAGTTCCTCTTTGTCTTGGAAGCATCTTGTTTCTCCATTGATTTCTAGAGACAGTTTTTCAGGGTACATCAATTTGGGCTGGAAGTTATTTTCTTTCAGGGCTTGGAATGTTTTGCTCCCAGGTTCTTCTTGACTTGATGGTTTGTGTTGAGAAGTCTGCCAGTATTCTGATGGGCCTTCCTTTATAGGTTATATGTTTCTTGTTTCTAGCAGCTTTTAATATTCTGTTCTTATATTGAATTTCTGGGATCTTGATTATTATATTCCTGGGTGTAGCTCTGTTTTGGTTATAGGTGGCTGGAGTTCTATATGCCTCATATATCAGAATATCATTTCCTTTTCCTATGTTTGGGAAGTTTTCCTTAATTATTTCTGTGAATAACCTTTGTAGTTCCTCTGTTTATATCCCAGCTTCTTCATTTATATTCTTTATTCTCAAGTTATATATCCTTTTGTCATCTTCTAGCCTTTGTATTGTTACTGCTTGTTTCCTTTTATTTTTAAAAAGTTTTCCCTTTCATACTCCCACATTGCAAAATTGTCCTCCAATTTGGATAATCTATCCTTAGTTTATTTCAAGCTGATTTGCCATCAGAGTTTTTAATTTCCTGGTGATCTCTTTGAATCTGCTTCATGTATTCTATATTGCTTTTTATATTCCTCACCAAATATATTCTCTCCTGTGTTTGAGTTCCTGCCTTCTTCCGTCTGTGTCTTCTTGAGGGGTGCTTAGTATCTCTTTTATTAATCTTCTTATATCTTGCTTTATTTGGTTAAATATCTCACTTTTGAACTCATCTATGAGGTCCCGAATATATTTTTTTATGTCCACTGGCACTGTGTCTGATATTGCATGTTTGCTGTTCTCATTCTCCTTTGTATTTACCTGTCCTGGGTCAATGTTCTCAGGCTTGGGGCCTGGGGACTTTTTGTTGTTGCTTCCTCTTCCCATATTTTTTTGCTTCTTCCAGGAGGCCCCAGTTTCTTTCTTTGTTGGTTACAATTCTTCTGAATCATGCTGGCTAGATGACCCTTCACACTGAAGTGTGTTAGTGAGTTGCAGACAGGGACAGTGTATGCTGGCCCCTCCCCTCCAGATTAGTCAAGCTGCTGTGACCTGCACTACTGTATTACTTTGTGCTGCCTCCCTCCAGACCAGCCAAACCTCTGAGGCCCCACTGGGCCAGTGTGGTTAGTGTGGGACACCACTGTGGGGACTTGACTTCTTATAACCTACTGGGTCTCAGCCAGGTCACATGACCCAGGTCTAGCTCACTCCACCCATACCATTCAGGAAGGGAACAATTGAAGTCACTGCTGCCCTTTGTACTTGCCAGTTCTGCCTGATCCCAGAATGTCATCTGCAGGGGCCCCCCTATTTATAGAATGGTTCCACTCCCATCACTCACCACAGCTTGATGTAGGCTTCCCGCCAACTCAGCTCTCCATTTGGCTCACTGACCTCCGAACTCAATGTAACTGTGACTCCAGTAAGTCTAAGCGGTGGGACCTCGAACGCTTTAGCAAGTCGTGGCAGGACCTCGGCAAGTTGCAGTGGGACCCTGGCTAGTCATGGTGGGGCCTCAGCAAGTTGTGGCAGGACCTCGGCAAGTTGCGGTGGGACCCCCAGCAGGTCACGGCAGGACCCCAGCCAGTCGTGATGCGGCTTCTGCAAGTCGAGGTGGGAACTTGACCAGTCACAGCAGGACCTCTCGGCCAGTCGTGGGGGGACCCTGGCAAGTCACAGTGTCAGCCAGTGGCCCTTGGATGGTCGGCAAGTTGCCTTAATTTCTTCTTGGGATGAGAGAATTCATTTCCCTCTGTTTGGGGCTCCCCACTCTGTATTATGTTTCTAATTCTAAATTGACTATCTCAGGGAGCTTCTGTAGTAGTTGTTATCTATCCGCTGTCTTTGCTCTCTTGGTCATATCCCCTATGCTGTTATTAATGACATTCATTATAAAGATCAAATGATCTCTTTAGCTTTTTCCACTTGCACTGTCATTTTTATCCAGTTTCCCGGATACTGAAGTGCTACTCCTTAAAAAACCACGGAAAATTGAGCAGGCATGGCACTCCTGGGCTCAGAGTACCCTCTTGGCATCCTAGACAGCATAACTGTCTTCTCAACTCTATGCCTTGTGCTAGCTGGCCTAGGCTCGGCACCTGGGCCTAGGACCACATGTTCCTCAAAGACAGTTTTGTAGTACACATCAATCTAATGTTTTTCACAATCTGATTGATGTTTCACACATCAATCGTAGTTTTTTTCTTTCAGAACTTGAAATACTTCACTCCAAGTTCTTCTTGACTTGAAGATTTGTGATGAAAAGTTTGCCATGATTCTGATAGGCTTTACTTCATAGGTGATCTATTTTTTTTTCTGACAGCTTTTAGTATTCTGTTCTTGTGCTGAATTTCTGAGATCCTAATTATTGTATGTCTGGGTGAAGATTTATTTTGGTTATGCCTAGTTGGGGTATATATGCCTCACTTATCTGCATATCAGATTCTCCTCCCATGTTTGGAAAATTTTTCTGCTATTATTACTGTAAATTGTCTTTGTATGTCATTTGTGTTGACCCCTGCTTTTTCATTGACACCTATCAATAGTATATTGTTTCTCTTTGCATCATCTTATAGCTGTTGAATTGTTGTTTCCTGGTTCCTTGTTATTTTTAAGAGATCTTTTCTTTCATAATCATAAGCTTCCCTCCTGTCTTCAAGATCTGAGTGTCTGTCTTCAGCTTCATTCCAAACAGTTTTGCCAGCTTTCTTTTTTTAAAGAGAAAAACAAAACAAGACAAAGCAAGACAGTAAAAGACTACAAGTAATACAGAATTTCAAGAGAAAAAAAACAGTAAGAATTCACTAGTAAATAGATTACATATTGTCATCTCAGAAACAGTTATCCAGGTTACAAAATTAAAGCATACACATTGAACATTAATACAGTGAGATTGTAGACAGTTCTGTTCAATGATCCAACAAAAACTCAGTAATACGGTTTTCTATCCTACACTCTTAAATACTCTTGCAGTTGTATCCTTTAGATCACTTTCTTTCCTCCCTATTTTATACTAACAATCACTCATTTTGGGTTCCATTACTCCCACAGTTCTTATAACTTTTTCTTTAAAGAGGAAAAGAAAAAAATATATATAAAACAGGAAACAAGACAAAACAAAACAGAACAAAAACCCCCACAATGTGACAAAGCAAAACAGAGTCAGTTAGAACAGGAGGATGGACATAGTATATAATGCTAGAAGAGATTACTAGGTGATCAACAATGGTTACCATTATGCCTCTTGTTATCCTACAAAGAGGTGCCTGTATCAGCTGGTATAAAGGAATTGAACAAAACAGTACAGAATAAGACCAGTAAAACCCACATTGGAGGCCTTTTAATTCCAAAGAAGATAATAGTCAAACCATAATGGGCATCATAGTGGTTGCCTTAATAGTGGTTGCCTATACCCTCAAATTTGATACTATTAATCAAAACAGAATATAATAAAATCAGTCAGAACAAGATGTGGAGACCAATACAAGGGTTCAAATCAGGTTAATAGGAAAACAAGGTACTATAATATATCCCGCTATTTTTAATTTAGTTTTCCCTTAATTAAAAGATACTAAGATATAAATTAAATTAGAAAAAAAGGGGGTGGAGATTGAGATAAAAAAAGAGCATATCAATAGCACAACACAGGTCAGAACCGAACAGTTTAAGCATCACTATATTTCACCACCAGATAGCCCGACATTAATAGTAGTTACCATAGTGTCTCTTTCCTTGAAACATTTGAGTCTAACTTCATATACTATAGCATCAAACCCATCAAGACAGTGAGAAACCATTCAAGAGAATGAAAGTATTGCAGGGTATTTAGAACCAGCTACCAGAAACTGAACTTCGGTTTCTATGTGATCTTTTTGCCTATAAAAATTTTTGCTTATACTATTGCATACACTAAAATATAATAAGATACAACATGTTAAAACCAACCAATGGAAACAAATGAACAACAACTTGATGGGGCTTCAAAACAGGATGATATCAAACCAGCAGTAACTATTACGCTGTCTTATTTTCTTCAAAATAGCTATTCGTAGTATTGCAGGCAATAATATAAAACAACCCAGATTAAAACCATTCCAATTAATGAGTGAAAGCATTATATGGCTTCAAACCAGTGTGACTGGGAATCCTGATTACCACGTACTTTTATGTATTCTTATCATTAATTATACTAGGGAAACAATTCGGTATTTATACATGTGAGTTTGATTTATTTCACTTATGAGTATGGTCTCAATGTGCATCCATTTATTTATAAATGTCTCAATGTGATCATTCTTTATAGCTGAGTAGTACTCCATTGTATAAAAATACCACAACTTTTTTATCCATTCCTCAGTTGATGGACACTTAGGTTGTTTCCAAGATCTGGCTATTACAAATTGTGCTGCTATAAACATGGGTGCACATATATCCCTGTGGTATGATGCTTTCAGCTCTTCTGGGAATATGCCTAGAAGTGGAATAACTGGGCCAAATGGGACTTCCAGTCCCAGCTTTCTGTGAAATCTCCAGACTGACCTCCACAATGGTTGCACTAGTCTACACTCCCACCAACAGTGCAGTAGAGTTTTTTCCCCACATCCTCTTCAGCATTTGTTGTTGTTGGTTTTCTTGATCTTGGCCATTCTTTCAGGAGTGAGATGAAATCTCAATGTGGTTTTAATTTGCATTTCTCTAATGACTAATGATGATGAGCATTTTTTCATATATTTACTTGCCATTTGTATTTCTTCATCTGAAAATTGTTTATTCATCTCAGATGCCCATTTTAGGGGTCTTTGAATTTTGGGGGTCTGAGTTTTTTTTAATTCTTTATATGTTTTAGACAGAAGTCCTTTGTTTGAGGGGCAGTTCACTAAAATTTTTTCCCAGTTTGTGGGTTAGTTTTGGCAGCTTTCAATGGAATTTTTAATTTCCTGAATATCTCTTTGAATCTGTTTCATGAATTTGAATTCTGGCTTATATTGTTCATTGAAGTTTTCCATCATTTTCTTATGTTTCTCTATTTTTTTCATCTAGATCTTCTTTATAAACACTCAACATTTCTTTCATAATTTTTGTCATTTCTTTTTTTTACCTGTGAGATTATTTATGATCTGATTTCCTCTATAGCTTCATGGAGTTGTTTCTTTATTTCAGTTGCTATCATTTCAGAAAGTTTAGCTGTGTGATTTCCAGTGTCTTCCATTTTCAATGGGTTTGTTCTTGTTGGGTTAAAGGACTGAAACTGCATCTTGATCTTTTATTTTGTCATTTTCCTCTGGTACCCATGTGGCCAGTCAGGTACCCTCCTGATGGATTCACTGGAACAGTGCACTGGGCAGAGCTTCGATCCTCCAATATCCATGTGGCTAGACAAGGTGCCCCCCTGAACTATGGTGCCAGAGCCTTGCGCTGTGATGGGCAGAGCTCAGAGTCTTCAGGACCTGTTGGCTAGGCTAGTCACTCGCTGATGGACAGCTCTGGAGCTCTAGGCTGGGCAGGGCTCAGTACTTCTGTGACCTGTGATGCCAGCTGGGTGTTCCCCCAATGGATTATGTTAGGATGCTGGTCTAGGCAGAGCTTGGATACTCTGTGTTTTTAGCAGTGATGCACCCCTAGAGTGTGGCACTGGGGGCTTACACCTGGCTGAGTGGATTTCAGAACCTTTGGGACCTGCAAGGCTAGCTGACCTATGGCACTAGGACCTTTTGCTGTGATGGGTGGAGCTTGAAATCTCCAGGACCCATTGGCTAGGCTGATTGCTCCTTGAGAGACAGCTCTAGCGTCCTGGGTTGCACACGGCTCAGTACCTCTGTGACCTGTGAGGCTGGCTAGGTGTTGCCTTGATGAATTGCACTGGGCTGGGCAGAGCTTGGATTATCCATCTGGCTAGCAGGGATACTAAAGTTCTGCCATTTAGAATAGCTTATTTTGAATTTATATATTTGTATAATCTAAATTAGAGTGGAGGCAATAGTACAGTTTCTAACTAGAAACAAAGGAGCTGAGAGAGACATTCCCTTCCCTCCACTCAGCTATAAACAATATACCATCCCATTGGTTATCTACAATTCTACTGTCCTAAAAGAGTTACAAAATAAAATATCAAAAGATTAGAAGTTTGTACAGCTGGGGCTGCAGATCATATCAGAGACAACCAGAGTCAGACGGGTCTGACCCTTTGAATACTGGAAGCCTGAGTAGCCAAACTTTCTTTTTCCTTTTCCCATCTGACAATTCCTATTGCCACAGCTGCATGATGTTCCATAAGCAAACCTGTTTACTGTCCACTATGGGGTGCACACTTGACAATCCTTCCCTCATGTACAAGAAGCTGGACTATTTTTGGCCCATTCAAAAGTAACAGCAATGTTGCTGCCAGAAGGTTGTGTAGTTTAAATTTTTTGTTTCTCTTTTAAC